AAGTTAATAATTTCCAGCTAGAATATTCTTCTTTGAAGTTGAATCTTGAAATTCGTAGAGGAAATCAATCAAGTGTCACTTTGTTTGCGACTCACCTCGGTGAATATTAACGTTAGCCATTTTCGATTAAATATGCGTATTATCAAAGATTGGAAGAATTTTCAATAATTTATTACCGATTAACTGCGCATTTACTTCACTGGAACGCAAAAACGTGCGACTTGAATATTTACGGTCAAAAGTACACACAATTTTTTCGTGTTTTGCGGACCGAGCGTTGTCGGATTATTGAGCACGAAAATTGTTTATAAGGGAGATGTAAGGCCACGCTTGTTTATTATTCTTGACGAAAATTCTCTCGGTGTTCCTTCGGTTAGTTAGGAATATAAGCTCTTGATCGCGCATTATGTTATGCGTTACGACACGGTGGACTTATTACATGCAAATTACTAACATATTGCACACTTAAATGCTGTTGCACAATCGCCGCGTAACGCATGTTCACTTGCGTGTGCGTTGGATGATACTTTGTATCAAGTCCCACCCATTATGCACGGCTATACAAAGATTACAGGAGTCGTAATCATCGAATAATCATTGTTATTAAATACGAGCAGTACTGAGTATGAATAATCGATGAGGCTGGTAAGACCTTGATAAAGACTCCGATTCATTTCGTTTCGTGAAACCAGCTATTGATATCATCAGCAGCTATGAAAGTTTGTGATTTTTTGTTTTGAATATTTTAAAATCCCTGTAAATACTGTAATTTTTAAAATATTAGGTATTCGTGCTTCAAATATATCAGAGACTCGTTAAGTCATTACTTTTTAACATTCTACAAGATTTCAAAAAAGATCTTTCATCTTGATCTAAAATACTAACACTTCATTTTTACTTAAGAAAAAACCGATGCTTATAATATCTCAATTTCTGAATTTTTAAATTCACTTCAGTATTATAATACACAAACGAAAACGTCGATCCGCTTTCATTGAAGAAACCAGATAGCAATATTTCGTATGAAAGAGGCTGTAACATTTTCAATACTTCTCTAAGTGTTCTTATTTGTCGGTATTTCTTGCGAACTTCCTCGCTCAATCAACAGCATCGACAGGATTGCACTTAACATCTGTGCACATCTCGAATAAATCGAACTGCGTTTCCGTTACAGCTAGTTGTTTGTTGCTGGTGCAACAACAGCAAGCACGAAATGCGTTCAAGAAATCGCGGCATCATCAAACATCTCGCTGCTAGACGAAACGATGATGGATAACCATTCGTGATGAAATCATTCGTACATCGGCGAAATGCTGGATACATTGGAACGAGAGAAACGAGGGGATTCCGTTCCGCGTCCGAGCTTAGTGGTCAACGTAGGCTCATTTGCTTTGTACCGTTAGCCTTTAATTACTCATTGATTTATTATTGACCACGATGCATCATTGCATCGCCTTTCGCGCCTATATCCTTTCATTGAGCACGGCGCTCGGCTATGCGAAGGTGTTCTCGCCTATTGACACGGCTTCCTCTGTGAGCTCGATTCGAAATGACAGACGCGTTAATGCATATGTCACAGCTGTATTACGTACTGCCCTGACACTATTAACCAAAGCTGCTATCAGTATGCACGTTGCACAGAGAGAACTCTTTTGCTCGAACGGTCGCGTGCACAGGAAAGAGATTCCTTTTACTAGGTTTCAGATGAAAGTCTGTGAAATCGAAGGTGCAAAGTCGGGGCAATATGTAACAACGTTGTAACAAATGTTAAAATCTTCGAAGCTTTGATCAACTCGTCTTTATTCCCGGGATTTTATATTTTCTTTATTTGTAGATTTAGAATGTTAAAAATGTTGGAGAGGACAGTATTGATTGTTAAAATATTTGTTGAAAGATAGATGTTATTCAGATTCGAATTGTGATAGCGTTTCCACAAGAATATTTCTATACCAGAAGCAATTCCCATTTTCATCGGCAACTTGCACTCTTGCACAGATTCGATCATACATTTCAAAATTAGAACTTTTAAACGTCATTAACTCGCAGCCTTCTTTCTAACGAACCATGCTTCGGAAATTCTCTAGCAAACTGACCATAGATAGCAACTACCTCAACTGTGCTCCGTTAGCCAAACCTGGCCCAATAGATTCGATCAAGAGACCAGATCGTGTCAACAGACAACGAGCAACTTCTCGTTAGGCCGCGAGACAGTGGTGAAAATAAGGTTCGATGTTCACGTAATTGATGGATAATCAAGCCAGACGCAAAGATATCGATCAGCCGTGTCGCGATCGAGCGGTCAGTTTCACTGTTGTCGGATCTAATGGGCCCTCGATGCTTAAGGTGAAAACAGGATGACAGCGTTTATACGGGCGTGCACGGTGCTTTCACCAGAACGGCGGAGGCGCGCGCGGTAACCAAGTTCGCTTCACGGTGATCGTCGGTGACGCGGAGTCGCGCAGCGTCCCAGGCGTTATTAGGAATCGTTATCGAAGACAAGTTCTCAACGGTGCGGCCAACCGATATCGACTTTTTGCCGGCGCGAAGGCATGCATACAAATTACGCCCATTACGGCTCATAGGAGCGTTCACTTTCTAGCGACACATAATAAATTGTCGTCTTCGGGAGAAAACACGCGACGGAAATGCCGACTGGCTATCGGGCCAGGTCCCGATTTTATACGTCTTCCTCGTGCTCCGCCGCTGCAAAGATCGTCGCTTCAAGCTACTTATCGGGCCCGATGGTGAATGGAAATTACGAAGAATCCACCCCGCTGCCAGCTATAAACAACGCGAGTGATTCGTTCTCTTAGATGTTTTGATCTCTTCCTTCGTGGAAGTAATAGAATAAAGAAGAGAAGACGGTATTGTTACAGTATCCTGTGTAACTGGGTGTAGTTTCATGGAAAGAGATGTACAGGATGATAGAACGCGTATATATATATATATATATATATATGTAGATAAGTTGGTACGAACTATTCGTGTTTGATAGAGCAATGAATAAGACGCCCGTATGAGGCGTTCGTTCTTGATAAACTGCGAAGTACCTTGTAATTTGTATTCGCTGTTATAGTCAAGTGTTGATTATATTGCTTTGGTCGAGTGAAAAATGATAGGACGAGACAACGTCGTTTGATACACACGTCGTGCTGTCTGATTATATGTAGTAAGGGAGACTGGCTACGTAATACACAACTAACTCGTGTCGATCAGTATCGCTGACAGCTATATTGTGGAATATTTCGTGAATATAAACGTAACCTTTGTCCGCGTGTATTTGTTTCCGTGCTCGTGTATTAAAAATTATATTAACATATTCTACAATTGCTGCACGACAAGGCGATTGCCATCGACTAAACCCTCACTCGTACCTCGAGGATTACCTAACTGAAATCAAACAACACCCAGTGATTTTCACCTACTCGGAAGATAATAGGCAAACAGGCGTTCTCTCGACGACCATTCATGGAATGTCACGCAAAGACGCAAAGAGAGAAGCCTCGAAGACCATAGAGGGGCAACGTGGAACTGGTATTGCGTTAAGTGCTCATCCGGGACGCGACAAGCATTCGATCTCATCGGTAGAAATAAATCAGAAGCCATCGGTGCTCATCCTGCCGCGGGCTCGGGTCACACTCGAAATATCGGGCTGACATTTAAACGGGCGGCGGGGTCGCATTAGCGCCGCCTAGCCAGAATGACACTCTCAATAATAGATTAGATGTCGGCTAAGTGCACCAACGACCGGCCACGCTGCGCCTCGTGATTTATCGATCGTGGCACGTGCGTGTATCGAGATTTCCACTTCCCGCCCTCTCGTTTAATATCCCGTCGTATAATATCCCGTTTTTCACCCCGAGACGGAAACGGGCAGAATCTTTCCGTTGAAGCGAAAGTGAGAATTAGCGTCAGACGTGGCGAATCGTTTAGTCGAGTCACGCGAACGCATTAAAGATTTATCGATCATTATTGGAAACGGTAATTGACGGCTGAAGTGTTTTGGAGTAAGTTGGAGAAATGGATTAATGCTGTTCCAAGAATGAATACTGTGAAACTTCGTTACGGATAAATACGGTTTCTATATCTAAGTTACTTGAGAGGCAAATTGAATATTTCTTGATTGTTATTTAATTTTGGCTTCTAACTAGACTTCCATTTCATAAATAATAGTAAGTCGTATATCTTGCGAATCTAGTCAAATCAATTGTGTTATCAATGATGACTTTTTGATTTTTGATTCGCGTATTATTCGTCGAATAATAGGTACAATAGTATCATAATAAAAAAAAATACGAATTCTTTTTTTGATCTGTTAAATTTCTGTATATACTTCTGAGAATCAGGTTCGAAGCAACCCTACACGTGGCTTCAATCTCTATGAACCAGTAGTACACTTTATTATTTCACGCGAAATAATAAAATTTTGTAACAGATTACTTCATATTCCTCGCGTTTAAAGCGCCGAGAACGCCTCCACTTGACTTTTCCCGCGAACACTCGTTGTTCCGCTAAAAATAAGTGAAAAAGCGCCGCGGAAGAGGAAACGTCGTTCCCCCAAAAAGGGGTCAATGCCGACGGCGCGAATGAAAAATCACTGAAGAGCGGCTCTCGTCGGGCGACTGGGAAAAAAACTAAGTGGTTTCTATATTATTACAAACCGACGTTCCAGTCACGACGCGTCTCGATCCGTGTCGCGCGTTGTTAATTACAAGTCGGCTCGCAACAGGCACAAAGTCACGTTTTACGTCGATCCAGGGACCTGCTCCCATCCGGTAGCAGCTCCCTGGTCGAGTTTTTTACTCGCACGGTTCATTTCGTGCACGCGATAAATAATAGAACGATAACACGGCTGGCAACATACAAATCAGATCTAATCGTACTTTCATCTAACTAAATGCGACGATCGTGTCTCGAGGAAATCCAACGAGATCTAAGTGGAACCCTTTCGAGTTCGGTTTCCTGACCAACGTTAGAGTAACCCTCGCAAGCCCGGGTACTCCTAATTTTTTTTAAAAAAAGAAGATGGACGATTTCCTAAGCGTTTTCCTAAGGTGATGAACCACGTCTTCATCTGGCGACTCGTGCGCGTGTTTCTAGTTGAGCTTAGTTAACCAGTTGCTCGTGATAAATATGGAATAGAATGGTCTTCAGAGCACGTGCTCGGACGACTCGAGGAAACAGTGAATCCAATCCATTGTGCCTATGTATCAGTGAAAGTCGGAGAGAAGTACATTCGTAGACTTGCGAATCCGTTTTTAGCTATTCGAGAAAAAAGAGCAAACCTAAGCCTGTTGACGGGTTGGAACGTCGTCAAAGCGAAAGAAGCTGTTCGGTCGAGAGCTTGTGCCTCGAAAGGACTCTTAACCTGAAAAACTCGACTCGTGCTTGTTAAAGCAGATGATACGGTGGTGGTCTCGCGAGATCGATTAACTGGTTCGTTTGCAGGATAATTTTTGTAAAACCGAGAGATGAAATGGATGTAGTCGATGCACGAGAGCGACAGAATGTAGGTCGTTCGTTTATTACGAACACACGAGGCGTTTTACGAACTTTTTCGACTCGCGTTGTGGCTTTCCCCGTATGTGAACACATAGGCGTGTGTTTGAGATGGTTTATGAAGGGGGCCTGGCGTGTGCGGCTCTTTCATTTTTCGAGTGATTCACCTCTGTGTAAACCTTCTGACGCTACATTTTTTCCGCATTTACCCAACGTGATAACAAAGCACTGTGCGAGTGTACGTTCTATCGCGCTCTTTATCCGTATTTGAACGATGTAAGTACACCGAAGAAACTTTCTAGATTCCAGGTACCGGCCGAGCATCCAACTACTCGTTACGATGTCCTAAACTTGATACAGTCGTGTTCGAGTGGAAACGACGATGTTATCGAGTTGTCGCTCCTTGAACGAATTGTTAGAACTGGAGCAATAAATTCACGAGTCAGGCTCAACGTTGAATGGAGTTATTCGAACAATAGCCTCTCCATATAATATAAGACGCAATAAAGTTAAGTAACTTAAAGCCTACGAACTTGCGCGAGCATTGGACTTGCCGTAAATTTCGTTATTCACGTGCGTGATTAGTGGTCCAGGGAAGTGAATAACTTCTGTAGCCACTTGTTTAGTTATTGCAGCGAGACGACATGAGTAAACATAAACATAAACTCCAAGGCATTTGCTTTGCACAGTATCTTTTCACTTAACTCTTTAATTTATGAAATCGATGACGCTGCAAGACCGTGCGTCGAATTTAATTTTGAAACCATAATACCTACCAGTTAGCAGGTAACGTACTGGTACGTATTTCGTCGAACGATTAAAGAGAAATTACCAATAAGATATAATATAGAAGTGAAAGGCAACAAAAGACCGAAATAGATTTACAGAACCAGTTCACATTCAAGATTACGGTTTTTCTGAGAGCGAGTTCCCTCGATGGACGGCGATCGTCGAAGTTTCACTTCGCCTTCGCGCGGCATTAATAAATTCCTGATTCCGAGAATCGAAAGGGAGAATTTATAGCGGCGCGAAGGAGGATGGAATCCTCTGACGCCGTTCATCCTCCTGCTTTTCCCCTTATGTTAGCCGAAACTATGTGTGCGTATGTGTATATACATTTCTTCCTCTTCTGCTTCTTCTTTTTCATTTTATTCTTTGTCGTCGTCGTCGTTGTCGTAGTCCTCGTCATCGTCGTAGTAGTCGTAGTCGTCGTCGTCTCGGGGAATGCAGCGAATTAACACGTGAGCGCAGCGAGCGCGAAGTAGAGGCAATAAATCTCCGGCACTTCAGAATTCCGAGCGTGAAACCAGTCTGTCCTTCATCGAGGTTTCGTGTCATTATCATTAATGCGTGAAAGGCACCGGTACGTAGACCGTGTACACGCAGGTGTGCCCATGTCAGACGCGATTCACACGTAGCCACGGTGTGAACCACTGCCAGGATTTCCACCGTGTTAAACTATTATCCGTTCGTTCGTTTCACAACTATCATCGTGCGCAATATCCAGTGGACGTGGTCCGATCCGCGACGCCATGGGAATCTCATTGTTTCAAACGGTACAGATGATCGTTCGAGATTGGTCGATGATCGATTTTTAAATCGAGTTATTCCCGCTGATGGTTATTTCACGATGGTTATTTCACAGCAAGTTTGTTCTTTCCGTGATTTTTAACGTCTACCTCTTAGCTGCCATAATTTAGAATCTAGTCTCTTTAACAAATTATTAAATGTAGACTATTCACGGTTGATAGATGGTCGTCAGATATTTTCACTTATCATAATTTTCATGAGATTCGCGACTGGAAAAGTTTGCCGGAATAAATTTGCACGTGCTAAAAACGAGTGAGTTTCGATATGCATGATCGTCTGATAATTTCGCTGATGCACTTCTGTTTCGCGGATATCGGCGGTATTTCACGGCGAAATCGTCTGTGAATAGCGGAACAAAGAAATCGATACATTTCCTTCGAATCATCTTGGACAAGCAAAGACACGATGAATTAGCAAGAATTCCTTACAACTTGGATATCTCGCTCCGGAGATTGCTTTGTTGTTTCGCAAATAGTCAATTTGATCCAGGTTTCTTGCGGGCGTCTCGCTCGCGGGAAAAGATTGTTGCGAGCGTCGCGGTCCTTGAAGAACGACCTTCAACGGTGGATGGTCGTCGCATCGCGATCGGTGGAACCGGTGCCCTCTTCCTCCTTTTTTCATTCCGTCCCCTCGCGTTCCTCGTGTCCAGCACCGCTGTTACGTCGGTCGAAACGTCGACACTTAAGGGCCGCTACGGTGGACAGATGCGGAGAGATAAGGGGCAAGGGAGGGTATAAGGATCAGGACGAATCTGTCGGCGATCGAGGAAGGATCGTGCGAATCCTAGAACGACACGGAGATGGACGACGTGGAGACACGTCGTCGGGTCTGTCGTGGTGCTTCGCGGCCGACCAGAGCTCGCGCGCGCGCGCGCGCGCACGAGAGAGAGAGAGAGAGAGAGAGAGAGAGAGAAGAGGAAACGAGCCGGAGTGGTCGTCGAGCACCGAGAAGATCTCTTCTCGATCTCGTTTTCTCGGAACTTGGGGACCGCGCGCACGGCTTTCTACAAAGCGTTTTCGCTCGTTCGATATTCCGAATCTGCCTTGGCTCGTGCTCGTTTTGTTCGACCGACCGAGCGTCGCCTTCGTGGCCGCGTTAAAAAGACGTGTTTTTGCTCTTTCCAGATCGGATGTAGCAAACTAGCCTCCCTCTCCGGCCTGACCGCCTCGAGCCACCGGCGACGACGTGTCGGTGCCTATTGACGGCTCAAGAAGGAAATGTTTCCCCCGCGGTACACTACAAGCCACGGGTTCCTAGCAGAAAAATCCCACCTCCGGTTTACCGAGACGAGAAAAAAACCCATGTGATCGTGTCTTTAACGACGCTTTAAGAGCCGCGCGACCGAGCGTACGCGCGCGTACGTAGTACCTCTGCTTGACGGAGTGGGGCGTTATTCGTTCGCGGCTGATGTATTCCGATGGCGCGACGCGATTACGACGCTGGTGACAGACGCGGCGATGGGATTTCTGATTCCTCTGGAACGTAGATCCATCCTTGAGTTCCCTTTCAATTTTTTTTCGAAATTAACCAAGAACGTTTCATACGTTTCATACGAATTTTTCACAGACTGTTAGCTGCTTTTTCGAAAACAGGTAGTAGAATCTCTTATTTCTGTCGATTGGAAGTATTTATCAAAGTATTAATAATTTCGTGTTGTGAAAATCTACATCGCCGAGATGCAACGAAGTGTAATAGTTATTTCCTTGGGACATCAAGCAACACCGGAACTGTTACTTTTGCAACGTGCAGCGTAGTACAGCTGCCGGAGCTCGATGTAAAGCTTAACGACGCACTTCCATTTCCTTTAATCTATCAAATAAATCATTTCCTTCGTTCGCCTAATTAATTCTAACGTGATTGTTAATAAAAATTCCAAACTCGCGACAATTCATTTTTCCCAGGCAGACCACGAAACTTTCGACGTTCCTACTGAATACTCGAAGAAACGGTGTCTCGTATTTCGATTACCCTGATTCATTCGTCCTTGTCCACAAATTACCTTTCCTACGTCGGTTCGTCTCCCTATTGTGCACGCACAAAACGACGAAACGTTCGAGATCGAAAAACGCGTTTTTTTTCTCGTTTTGTCCCAGCTAGTTTTCCCGCATTGTGGCACGCCGATAACAGATGTCAAAGGTTCCTCCGTGCAGTGACCGAATCGTGGGATTTCCTCCCCTCTGATAAACAGCTAATTGTGTATCGCGATTGAACGTAGATTTCCTTCGTCTCATTCGGTGACTCTTTCGGAGGCGAGCTTTCACGTGAACGGGCGAATGGAACGGAGAGATTGAAAGTAGCAAAGAGATCAATTGCATCCGGCCAGGCTTTATCCGCGTTCTTATCGGTAGCCGCCAATCGTTCGACTTAATTAGACCGATTTATGGAATTAACTATCGATAAGATCTTAATTTCCTTATCAGCGTCGATGCCTGTGTTCCCGTCGTTAACAATTTAGATAGATTTGCTCGTTTATCTGGCGCTATCTCTCACGGTGCTCACGGCTATGCTAACGAACGCCTGCGTGACGACGTTTTTCTCCCCTCGGAGTCGCATAAAATTTCATTGGGTTTTTTACATGCATTCCTGATCGTGTGATCCCTTGCATTCTAGCGTGCAACGTTTTCGTGCCACTTTCAACTCGAACGAAATTGTACGCCGATTGAAAATGGAGGTGACTTGACCCGTAAAAGGCTCCGCTACCCCTTAAATTTATTACACTCTGAGTATGATTAATCTCGTTTAATGTAAGAGAGTTTAATGTAAATTAATATCTCTGGCCGTTACGAGGAGAATAGCTTGTAACATTTTATTTGTCTCGCCCAGTACGTAATTACGAATACATTATCGCGAAAGAGATCCCCGTACAATTTCCAGCAAACCAGGCAATTTCGGATACAATGTCTCGCAATCGCCATATCATCTGCGCGACATCCTCTGCGACTCTCAGTCTCCACTGATCACGATGGCCTTTGTGCTGTGCTGCGTTCACGTTGCAACGCGATACTTTCCCCGATTAATCGTTATTATACCCTAATTAAGGGAGATCTATTGTGTCGGACGATCGCGACACTTTGTCAACGAGATATTATCTGCGTGCGAGAAACGACTGGTCTCTGGCCGCCAACGCTCGTTTCCTGCCCGATGGGGAACTCCGATCTCGTGTCTTTGATCCTACGATTATTTCGACAGGATATCCGGAACGGATTGCACGTTGCCAGATAACATTCACCCCCGCGAGCTCGAGGGCGGGACTGAACGTCTCGGGACGTTGGCGCGGCGACGAGCACGCTCGTTAAGCTGCACACCAGCTGATCAGAATTGCAGTCGATCGATAAGAATCTTTGGACAAGCTTTGTTGAACCCCTTTGACTTCGTACAATTAGTTCATTCGAGGGAATAGCTCAATTAAGATGCTCCGCGGAGCACGCGATACACCAAGTACACGAGAAGACAACAAAACGAATTACGTCTCGTGACTAATTCCTCTTGACGCTCGAGGATTTATCGAATAATCTTCTTTTCAAACGATACTTTTCACAGTTATGTGACGTTATTTGGCAAACGTACCAACCGTTTCTGCTACATTTCGAACAACGTTACGTTTAAATATCAGAAAGTGAACGCGTCCACTTTCTACTCCGAGAGCTAAGCAGAAACTACGGATAACCAATAAAAACACGAAGTAATCGAAGGAGAGCCAAGCAGTGTCTAGGTTGCAACAAAACGCGCGAATTATCGCCGGGAACGAACAAACGGAGAGCAAACGGAACTGGCGTGATCATAATTCGAAAATTTACGTAGAAGCGGCGCAGTCAGCGTATTGGCGATCGCTTTGAATAAAAATGCAAAATCAGAACGCACGCCGGCGTGAGGATTATCGGGCAGAACGGGGTCCAGGTGTGACAAGTTAAAAAATATGTCGTAAATTGTACATCGCGAACTTAGACGGCGGGAGGGGACAGCAGGATAAAAGCAGCACGGCGTAGAACGAAACAGAGACACAGACACGGGGGCTTTTATCAGCTGGCGTAAAGTCTCTAGTTTGACGCTAATCCCGGTTGTCGTATCTCCGGTTGGAACACGCGCGAAAAAGGGAGCGGCAAGACGACTCTGCGACTTGTTCGCACGTTATACGAATCACGTCCACGCCGAAGCAGTCCGATTTGCTCTGCCCGACAGTAATCCCTCGCGTGATCACCAACCACATATTCGTCCGGTTACTCGAAACAGATATTTCGTTGGGGTTAATACGTCGATTACACTCCCGCAAACTGGATCGCCGACATTTTCGAGATGTAATACGACGTTTGATTTGCAATTTTCTTTCGCGTCCGCCGAGAGGAACGGCAGAAACGTTCTTGGAATCTTTTCTTGATCGATTTTCGTTCGGTACGAGGAACGAAAAGGAGCAAAAGGGATGAACGTAGAACAATGGATTAACGAGCGACAGATGGAAGTATATATTCGAGTAGCATTACGTACGTTGCTCTGTACAGAGAATGTTTCTTCGTTTAAACGTGAAAAGTTTGAGGTTCAGACTATTTGAATCGCGCGAGATTTTGTTGAACTTGTAAGTGATTGCATGATTATCCAAATGGGATTAGAAATCGTCGAAGTGAAAGAGAGCCTGGTCGTGTCTTTCGACAAGCGTTTCTAATCGTAGCTCGTAAAATTCCGCCAACTACCATCGTCACAAATTTCATCCAATCTACCCGACCGCTTCTCATATATTGGTATCTCCAAGCAAGGAAATGGATTTCTCTTGCATATGCGGAGTCTTTGAATCACGCTGTAAGAGCACTTTGAGGAAGTCTAGCGTCGCTATTAACGAAGCGGCTGTCACGATCGGGACACTTCGTGTATCTCGTATCAGAAGTAAGAAGGAAGTTTCACGAGCGGTTAGAATTTAACTTCACGACGTTCGTTTCCGAAGAAATCGGCGTTCAAGGATCCGAACAAGGAAGTCTCCGGCGAACAGGTTTTTCGGCCGTGAGGTTAGCCACAGGCACGCGCGTACCAGAAAAAGCATTCACGCCTCTCCACGAAATACTCGGCAACGATGAAGAAAAAGAGAGAGAGAGAGAGAGAGAGAGAGAGAGAGAGAGAGGGGAGAAGCGTGAACGGCAAACGTAACGTTTAATAAAGATTTCGCTCGTGTGCCGAGAGCCGCGCGTGGCTGCATATCGATGACAATGATTCAGACAGCCGTGACGCCAGATTCTGTACGTTTTTTTCACCACGGATACGTGATTATTCGTGAAACACTGTGGCTAGTCATCGTCGGGGACCACCCACGCGAATACCGAAGCAATCTCAGCGGCGACCTTGTCAAACGTTCTCGATCGTTGTACCGAATAAAACGAATTCTTTCGCGATACAATGGAAATGGAGGGCCACATAAAAGCAACGATAAGAACCGAACCTCTGGCTGTTCTTGCAGTCTGTGGTTGAAGTTTCTACAATATTGGAACGTTTCACGAACAAAGTACAGCGAAGTACAGACGAAGCTGTGCGATATTTCCAGGCTAATATAATCGAAGTGTATCTATCCGTACGAAGAGGTGTAAACGGATTCAAGGACAAGCGAAAGAGAGAAACAAGATAAAATCGTGGATTTTAAATATCAACGAGGTTTCTTGGTATCTCGTCGCAAAGAAAATAGGGTATAGAATCAGGGAAGAAAGAAATGGCTTGACCACCTTTGCCCCTTTCGACATCCTTCTCTCGTGGCCTCGTCCTTTTGCCTCTTCGTCCCTTACGTTGCCCTTTTTCTCGAGAAGAACCAAGACGGTCGTTCCATTCTCAAGGGTTAACGTGGGCGAATGGGGTTCTTCGTTGGTCGGGAACAAAGCTAAGATAAGGGGACACCTCGGATGAAAGAGGGAAACGAACGAACGCGAAGGGTCGTGGCTGTGGCTGTATCAAAGTGAAACAGAGAGGAGAGGAGAGGCTGTGTCTCTTATCGCGAGCCGAACCGAGTCGAGGCGGGGGACGCTTCGAAGTATTTTTCACGGCAATAAATAATCCGGAAGGAACGTCATTCCTCGAGCTCTGTGACACGGGGCTCTGCGAGCTGCAGGAATAGAGGCGTGCGCCCGATAGCAGATTCTTTCGTTTCTCCCTCGTCCTCCTCAAAGATTCCGTCTCTTTGTTTCTCCACGAATCTTGCTTCGCTTGCCGTCTTTATCTTCGCCGTTGCATCCCTTTCCACCGTCCTCCTCTTCTTTGTCCACCTCTCCCTTCTTCTCTTCTCTCCATTCTTCTCTTCTCTCCGTCTGGGTGATGTATCGGTCCTTTTTCGTCTTGAAGCGATATCTACCTGGAAGTGTCCACCATGAGGGCACGTGGGCCACGAAGGCACTTACACGACCTATTTCGAGGGGGCCGGAGAAATAATGTCTCTCCATTGGTGGGCCCGATGATCGGTCGATTACGAGGAGTGCGGCTCGCGAGTTCCCTCTACGTGGCCCGCGCTGCGGCGGCCCCCTGACTTCCGGTAACGACCTATCTCCGTCGAATGGCGAAAGTCGCTGGATCCGTGATACGTCCGAAGCACCGTATTGCTTGGCTAAAAGCACCGCGGATAAGCGGAACGAAATATATTTTAGACAATACGTTCCGTGCCGTCCTTCCTTTGTCCTACTCGCGTTTTACCGCGTGTCGCGATACCCGATATCTACGTTTCAGGAAAATTGAAGCTTCGAAGCGGCGAATGGTAGATTTATGGGGGGATTTAAGCCCGCTATCGGAGGGATCTTATAATGGACGATTTCACGTGCGAATTAGCCTTGAACACCAGCGTTCTTATCTATCTAGGTGTATGTATGTCGAATCGAGAAAGAAAGAGAGAAACGGTTTTCATTTTGCTATTGCGCGAAAGTCTTCCATGTACGTGTTCGTATATTGGTTGGAGTTTTACCGATGACGTCAATGATTACGAAACGGCGTTTCGCATACAAAACCGCTAATTTCGTCGAGCAATATGGGGGATAACCGGTAAGAAATGCCACCTATCATCGATCGTATCCGTTCTCGAGGCAGTGCGGCGTTTTCGAACAAACACCGACGTTGTTGGAACATGATGTCTCGTGGCATTAGACGGGCTCGCGGTTCAAAAGTTACGTGCAAGCCTTCGGTCTAACCGAAGAAGTCAATCATAACGGCACACCAGAACCTCGAACGAGCGACAATTTCGCATTCAAAGTATCGCAATTGTGGCTGATTGCGGCCGCCCCGTTCGCCGCTGCAACATCGTCGGAGATCACCGGAAGCAAGCCTGTTATTTCAGGGATATCGACTGACATGTACACCGCGAAAGCTAACGGGTTTTTTCGAGGCGACGTTCGGTTATATCGCGATGATCGCCGTAGCCGAACAACGTTCAACAAGTGAGAAATCACACGGAAATAAGCAGTTGCTACATTCTTCCCTTTGTAAATTCCACTTTGTACGGCCACGTTTCGATTCCCGAGGAACCAGGTTAAACGGTAGTACTGTCTGTAATATCGACGAGTTTACGTTGATCTTCTTGTGGATTGCTCATCGTGCAGTCACGACACAGCTATTACCTTGATTGTTTCAGCATTCGCCTTTGATCGTCTTTTGAGAACGATTTGTATATTATTAGTTGTTTCATTGATATGTATTTTGATTTCTTCTTTTTCACTCTTCCAATAGTATATATTATTAAGCAAAATGTCATTCTGCAATAGTTCAACTTTGTAATCTTTGAGAAATTGGAGTATGCATTTAATTTCCAACTCAACACTTCATGAATCTTTATGTAATCATATTTATATATTTATTTTATACAAAACTTATTATTTTATCGAAGAAAGCTCATATCCTACTTTTCAAAAAACTATTGTCAAAACATACTGATAACGGTATATTACAGTTGTAGTATAACATAATTGTCTCGTGAACGTTCGTGCAGCAACAACAACAAAAAAAAAAAAAAAAAAGTAGTTCAGGCCGAAAAATTCCCGACCTTCCCGAGGTCGGTATCGCACTCAACGTGTTCTCGTCGCGCGGAGCGCAACATTTTTCACTAACGCCTCGTTTTTTTCTTGGTGGTCTGTTTGGTCGCCGCCTCTCGCGTATGCACGAGCACGAAACACGGAGCGTCCCGTGGCGCGTTTCGACCGAATTCCGGGTAAAAAGCAACGAATAATGACTGTTCGTCTCCTTTCCTCCCCATTACGCGTCTACTTGTGCTCCTTTGCTGCCCTCGTTCCGTCCTGTTCTCGCAACCCTTCTTCCGCGCACGGATCGTCTCTTGCTCGCGCCAGTCGGTTGCGTAGGGGGGCCCTGAATTCCAAACGAGGCGGCAAAAAACCGTTTTAGGCGACCAGAGAAGCACGAGCAGCCATAAAAAGGGGCCCGGGTGGGACCCGGCGGAGTTGTTCCCGTGTTCTAACAGTTGTAACTCGCCGCTTAATGCGGCCGACCCGCCGCGGCCAGCGTGTCGGCCGTTTGTCTAGCCGAAAACCGGTGAAATCGATGCCAGAGATTTACGATCCGTGCACAGCGGTCCGTGGATCCGTGAATTACCAATCTTGGATCTTGGTTGATCCTTGGTGGGTTCACACTTCTGCCCATACACACGCATACATGTATATATATCTATATATCTATATATATATATATACATGTGTGTGTAACAGTATAGCGTGTGTATTTTAAGAGAGCAATTGGGAGGCGCGATATCGTCGAGAGCGGTACTTATTGTAATGCCCGGTTTCAGGTGTGTAAGTGGTGGATATCGGTAGTGAGTCCTATAATCACCGGACACGCGATTACGTGTACAGACAGCGTGACGGACAGATAGATAGACGTGCGCGCGGGATGGTGCAATTTAACATTCGGCCGAATTAGTTGATTAACGACGGGGGCCAGACGGGGCGCGTTCGCCCGAAACGCTCCGGAATGACCGCCTTTCCTCCTCGGCTCCGCCCTCGATTCCACCCTCGCGCGATCTTCTTCGTTCTTCGTAGCAGCTTGTCGAGAGCATCCCTCGGGGAATTCGTTGGAGCGAAAGAGGAAAAACACGGAGGAAGGTGGCTGGCGTTGCTAAAAGCTTACACGAAGGGAAACATCCTGGCGAGAGGTACGCTCGCAGGTTGGTGTTTCAGTTCGAGAATGACTCGCTTTCGTTGGAACGAAACTCGATGGTTGTCTGAAACTCACGATTAATTCCTCTCTTCGCGAATACGTAGTTCCGCGGCACTGAGAGTCGTATCGCGAAAAGAAACGCGAATTGATTGGCATTGATTACCGAGGGATGCCACGACTCATTCACGTCCTCGTCGTTCATTAACGAGCCTGATTACGAGTGGCATTACCAAAAGCGAGCAGCCTCACGTGACTGGCGCGGTTACGACGCGCCGCCGTTTCTCGGCGAACGTATGTACATATCTTAAGCGCAGATCCACGCGGCGTTCCACGAACGACTGGGTAAAACGTTGATCAAACTCTGCAACGTCTTAATGGTTCTTAAACTCGTTTTTCTATCCGGCGTGTACACCGGTGGATCGAAAGGTTAAGCAATTGGCGTCGACGTGAGAGCGCGAACGAGAGTGGCGCGACACAGTTGCCCGGCTGTGCCTGTAGTCATCGAGAAATGTTAATTAAACGCCTTTCCTATATAAGGACCGCGTGATCGAGCGTTCAGCCGTTTTATCATCGTATTAGCTTCGAACGCGCCTCGCCTCGTTCCATAGCTTTCTGTAGCTTCGAGTTTTAAGCACGATAGCTTAAATGCTTTTGTACTTTCGACGACGAGAGACTGAGGATTTCTGGTGGATTTCTCGTCCTTTATATCGGAAAGCTGAATGTTGTTAAAGTCTGATAAATTAGATTTTGCGGTAACATTTGGCTGTTTGAAAGATAACGTCTTCACGTTTTTCGTTCTCGTAAAATGACGAGAAAGAAAATTACCACGAGGAAACGAGTCTAAAAATTCTGATATTAGTGGCGATCAAATTTTTTCAGATTCTACGTATTAAAATACTCGTAGTTTAAACTTAAGTTTTCTCACTGATCGAGAAGAAATTGTCAACGCAGACTGTCAGTTTGAAAGAGTCCTTTTTACGTAGGTCGCTTACAGATCCAGACCAGCCGGAGAGACCTTAAAAAAGACGCTACCGTAATCTGCGGTTTCTAAACAACAGCGACGCCACTCGTGACGGAAGGATTCGAAGCAGCGACGTCGATACGACGACCGCACATACGGTCGCAAGTTCTAACAAAAGTGGGGGAGAGAGGGGGGACTACGAAAAATAAACTAATAAAGCGTCGTTTCTCACACGCGTTTACATCGAACGACGCGGTTCCCAGCAGCGGCAATAAAAATAAAACCGCAGTCGAAAAGAAGGCGCGTCGACGTTGCCGGATTCAAGGGATCGAATCAGTCACCCTTTGTGGACAG